GTTCTTAAGTATTACATCAGCAGTTTTTTTTCCTCCACTCCATTCACCGGGGCTGTATGGGTATCGAACTCTGGACCCCACGCATGTGAGGACGACGCTCTATCGTCGGCCTCATAATAGAGCCTCACGGCCTCATTTATGTATGCATATACAAGAAGGTACATTGGGGTTGTGAGGATACATAATATGTTAATTACAATCTTGTAAGGCCACTAGTACGCGCAGCGTTTCGGGCAGAAAATAGAGCCTCACGGCCTCATAATAGAGCCTCACGGCCTGATATTTTACAGCAGTACTTTTTGTTTTGTAAATGAATTTCAATTTTTGGTCTGGGGCTTATGTTGATGTTGTTGACCCATTGATGATGTGACGACTTATACTGAATTTTGTAACTAGCTCATCAAGATTGTAACTTGCTTAGCTAAATGAATTGTGGGGTTCAGTCCCTGAGCCCATTATGTGCCTCTGTAACCCTTTCCACTACCGCCCACAAGATGGGTATGGGGTGCATAATAAATGAACTAACTGGTCTGGGGCTGTCGGTTCCACTCCATTTGAAATTATAGTTTTTATTATTTTTTCTTCTGTTTTGTACTGTGAGCTCATAGTTAGAGCTCTGTGGTATACAAGATTCTGAATGATTCCTTACACAAGTTTCAAAAGGTAGTTCTTATGTTGGCCAATCTAGCATACGGCTCTGATATCCTTTAGATGTGTGGCTTCTGGGGACAGGTTCGGTGTGATATCAACCCCCAGATCTTTCTCTCTATTTGACGCTTCACCTCCCAGATGGTACCTTGTGTTTGGCCTCCTGCTCCCTTCACCTAATTTCATTACTTTACTCTTTCCTAAGTTAAGTTATTAAGTTATCTTGCGGGTGCAAAATGAGGGAATCTTTTAAGAACAGTATATATATTTGACATAGTGTTTTCCTAATTCAAACAATGTGGGGGGTTAAAAATTGTCCACATTTCTAATGTCTCTTAGATAGTCACATTGTCTCAGGTAGTGGTCAAGGCGGTGCCCGTCACTCTCACCACAGATTCTGCAGTTCCGCTGTTGTTTCCATCCCGAATTTCTATGAATATGTGTATCCAAGACGAATTCTTACAGTACTTTATGTCGAATAATAACATTACAATTTTCGTGTTATTTTTTAACTTAAAGCTTGTACAGAAGGATCTATCTTGAGGTTATCTTGAGATGATTTCGGGGCTTTTAGTGTCCCCGCTGCCCGGTCCTCGACCAGGCCTTCACCCCCAGGAAGCAGCCCGTGACAGCTGACTAACACCCAGGTACCTATTTTGCTGCTAGGTAACAGGGGCATAGGGGAAAAGAAACTCTGCCCATTGTTTCTCATGAGGATGAGTTGTAGTACCAGATACTTCGCAGTCATTTAAAATCATTAAAATACACTATGGTGTTAGCTGAGGGCGGGAGAGGGCGGGGGGGAGGGGGGGAGGGGGAGACGTCTGGGAAGCACAGCGTGCCGTCGCCGTCGTCGCCGCCGCCGCTGTCGTCCGGCATCTGTCCTTCGACGGGGAAGACGGCGGTATTTACCAGACGGCAACTGTGGCGAGTCTGGCCAGGCCCGTCGGGGGCCGCCACAACACGCCATAAACAACTCTAATCTTGCCTTACATAATGCCCGATTTTGTTAACGCTTCTAAATAGCGATAAACACCCGAGTATTTTATGCTAATTATGCTCTTATGAAGTTAAAACAGTAGGCTGAATTTACTTGTTAATATTCAGTAATTTTTGTAAACTAGGGTTTTAACATAACCATATGCTAATTTTGTACTAAACTTAGTTTAATTTAAACAATTTCCCCGAAGGGCGAGTTTATTGGACAGCGTCACTCATGCTGCGAGTGAACATACCACTATAGTGACAATATTGGGCACCGTCACTCATTCTGTGAGTGGACATACCACTATAGTGACAATATTGGGCAGCGTCACTCATTCTGTGAGTGGACATACCACTATAGTGACAATATTGGGCAGCGTCACTCATTCTGTGAGTGAACATACCACTATAGTGACAATATTGGGCAGCGTCACTCATTCTGTGAGTGGACACACCACTATAGTGACAATATTGGGCAGCGTCACTCATTCTGTGAGTGAACATACCGCCATAGTGACAATATTGGGCACCGTCACTCATCACCCGTCACCTTAGCCCAGGAGGGCGAAATTCAGTCAGTATGGGGCATATTCTACAATATAATGTTCAAGGGAATGCATGTTTTCTCTTTCACAAAGTTGACACATTGTGTATTCGACACTTTCACAAAGTTGACATTTGAGTTTTGAGAAAGCTGCCAGATACGTCTATATCTCAGGTGTATTCTGGCCACTATAACATCACATTACCAAGTTCTTGCTCTATTAGTTCCATATATAAATGTGTCCTCACGGTATTCATCATAATGTTAATGCTACAACTTTCATGTCTTTGTGAATTAGTTAGGTCAGTAAGATTTTCATTAGGTATTTGTTTAGGTATTGTATTCTCTTTGTCACTGCTAATGAAACACTAATATCAATTTCTACCACTGGTTTTCTACAGGCTGTCTTTGCAAATATGTCAACAGTGTCATGCCTTGAGATGCCAACATGTGATGGCATCCAAAGGAATTTAATTTTACATCTGTTTTCTTTAGCAGCTAAAACATTCATTCGAATATCACTGACTATTTTCTGGGTGTTACTACTATGTGCGTTCAATGCCAGGAGTGCACTCTGCGAGTCACAGTATGTAAGTCCACTGCCTTTGTCTTTTAAAAATTCAGTGGCAAGGTATATGCCTGCAAGTTCGATTGGAGTTGTACTTACCCAATCATTGACGCGCTTCATTGCTGTATGTACGAGAGGGAGTGTGTGGTGGGAGGGAGTGTGGGTATGAGGGTGTGTGGGTATGAAGGTGAGTGGGGTGGGAGAGAGTGTGGGGTGGGAGGGTGTGTGGGTGGGAGGGTGTGTGAGGGAGAAGGATTGTGGGGGAAGGGAGGGTGTGTGGGAGTGTGGGTGGGAGGGTTAACAACTGGTGAGAGCCACCTTACTGGTCGTCATTGGCCTCGGTGAAGAGGTCAGGTCACTGGAGGTCACGAGGGTGACAAGGCGGCCGTCAGGACCGTCAACCAGCGACAGTCTGGTGTTAACGCGGCCTCTGGCTCCCAGGGGTCACCAAATATGCACTTTGACATTTAGTATGACATGAGATCTTTGTGTAGGAAGGCGGAGGAACACGTGGCTGGCCTACAGGCAAGCACCTTGTTGACGACCTAACAACCAATAATCCAACCCATGAAAACCTTTGAGTAAACGAGTGTGGGACTGTTGACCCCGAGTGAACACGGCCAGTAAACCTGGGAAGACGGGAGTGGAGAGGGAAGGGAGAGAGGGAGCTGGCTTCTTTAGGAGGAAGAGAGTGAGGGAGGAGGAAGAGAGGGAGGGATGGAAGCGGAAAGGAAGAGGGAGATGGGAGGGAGAGAGAGGGAGGCGGCGAGAGAGGAAGGATGTACGGGTCTGGACATAAAGGCTACACAACTGTACGGACAGTATTGTACTTTACTATCATCAAGGCAGTCACCTTCAGCTAACACAAGCTGCACGGTGACACGTGTGACAAGCCCTGCCAGGACACGGGTGACAAGCACTGCCAGGACACGGGTGACAAGCACTGCCAGGACACGGGTGACAAGCACTGCCAGGCCACAGAATGCTGAAAATCTCTCTCTCTCTCTCTGTTATCTTCCTCCCCCATACTCGTCCCAGCGCACCGGGGCGCGGGTGTGATGGTATCAGCTGTCAGCGCGTGTGTATGATGATGATGACGACGTTGATGGTGTTGTCCACATCATCAGCCCAGAGCAAGTGTAAACAGGAGGAGCCCTGCGCCTGTACAGTCTCATGATGCCCGAGTGGTGAGTGAGTGGCGGCGCCTGGCCGCACTACCAGCCGGGAGGGAGGGAGGGACGGAAGGGGAAAAACGGGATGGGAGCGGTAAAAGATATGGAAAAGGCTTGATGGTAGGGGGATGCTCTAGAGTCTCTCATGGCCTCCAACTGGGAACCATGGCCCCTTGGAGGATTTTATTTTTTACGATGTAGGGGCCATATGTTTAGGAAGTGTACGGGTTGATACCAGAGGGAAGGGCGACACAGCCACCTATAGTGGTTAGGCTGCAAAAACATTGTTAATACCGAGTGTAGGAGACATTAATAAAGACACTATATGAAAACGGAATACTGACAATAAGCTTGGGAACCACTGATCCAGAAAGAGAGAGACACTCATGCACAGGCAGACACACACACACACGCACACACTACACATTCTAGCATTAGGAACATTCAAATTGAAATAATGTTATTGATGTATAAATACAGACAAAGGGATGGGGTAGCTCAAGGTGTTCTCATCCCGTATTAGGAACATGTTGGCTGAACACGTTGATAAGGTACACAGTTGGTTCCAGCCTCATCATGTTACTATGGAACATGATGAGGAACTTTACTATGGAACATCATGATTGGAACTTAATATTAAATAGTTTATTCCTAATGACAAACTAATAATAACCTCGGTATCAGTTTCTAGATTTAGGCTTTATACGAGCTGCTGTTGGGAAAACAATTCTTAGCTTGCAGTTTCATTAGGAAAACCAGCAATTAATTCGCCCCGGGTTAACCTCCAAGTAACAACAACAAAAGAAGGAGGAGAGGATGCAAGAAGATGGATGAAGATAAATTTATGAAGAAGGAGAGAGAAATACAAGAGAAGCCTCGGCCCCGGGCCAGGACACTCCTGCTTGCCGTAAAGAGCGCAAAGCTTGCCGCCATTCTTGACGTCGTCGACCACACGCCAGAAACATCGGCACATTTCGTTATTGCTATTTCTGCTTGCATTGATATTATTATTACTGTTGTCGTCATTTATATAACATATCGAGCTTGACCTTGGACAGTTAATATTATATTGTCTCTCCCACAGCACACGTGACGTCACTGATGGGTCCTCTAGCACACATGTTCCCGTCGGCGCCTCCGTCTGCCTCCGCCCTCCTCAACACCCTGGGAGCCACCACCTGCCCTGTCATCACCCCCTCCACCATTGTTACCTCCTCACACGGCGCCTCCGTCTGCCCCAGCATGACCTCCTCCTCCTCCGTCACCTGTCCGATCATGACCTCGTATGTGACCTCCGCCGCGGGCTGCGGGTGTGACGCGGCGGGGAGCAAGTGCCCCTCTGACTGCGGCTACTATTACGCCCCGCTCTATGCCAACACCCCGGCGGGCCACCTCCTACCCTACAGCCACTGTGAGTGATTACGACCCTCTCTTTCTCTCTCTCTGTTTTTCTCTCTCTCTCACTCTCTCTCTCGCCCTCTCTCTCGCCCTCTCTCTCGCCCTCTCACTCTCTCTCGCTCTCTCTCTCCCTCCCTCTCTCTTTCTCTCACTCTCACTCTCTCTCTCGCTCTCTCTCTCTCTCTCTCAACATGCCGGGGTTTACAGGGTAGTCCCGTATGGGGGTCATCTTTTCTAGTAATGATTTTTTTGCGTAAAGAAATATTGTCACTTGCTTAGCTAAACGAAGTATGGGGGTTCAGTTCCTGAACCCATTGTGTCTCTAACCCTTTCCACCACCGCCCACGGGATGGGTATGGGGTGCATAATAAAGAAATAAATTGAATTGAAAGAATGAAATAAAGGATATATAGTAAATAAAGAATAAAGATGAATGAAATGTTGCAATGAAATATAATGAAGGAAAAGTAAAGAAATGTGAGAGAAAGGAAGGAAGTGCGGAGGGACCAACAAGAGTGGTGTTGTCAGGTGTGAGCGGTCACTCCGTCACTCCTCGTCACTCTCCACCATCACCACACCACCACCACCATCACACCACTACCACACCACCACACCACCACCACCATCACACCACTACCACCACCACACCACCACCATCACACCACCACCATCACACCACCACCACCACACCAGCACAACCACCACCACCACACCAGCACAACCACCACCACCACACCAGCACAACCACCACCACCACACCACCAGCACAACCACCACACCACCATCACCACACCACCACACCAGCACAACCACCACCACCACACCAGCACCGCCACACCACCATCACACCAGCACAACCACCACACCACCACCAAACCAACACCACACCACCACCACACCACACCACCACCACCACAACAACCACACCACCACCACACCACCACCACACCACCACCATACCATCACCAGCACCACCACACCACCATCTCCCTCCCGCCTCCATTACAGCACCAGACTAAATTCATTATAGTGCTAGTATTGCCTGTAAGCACAACAGCACACTGTATTCCTCACACCCTCTGTAATCATTGCAACCTCTGCAATGACTGCATCATTCTGTTCATAACTTGAGATATTTAGACCCCTGGGAACGATAAAAATATCTACTTGAAATAATGTTTTTAAAAGCCTGTTATTACAGCCGATGTGACGATAGATCAGTGTTTTATATATGCTTAGTTATGATGGAGTGAAGGATTATGGTCTCTGGTGCTGGTGAGGTGACCAGACCCATGTTCGTGGTCTGGTCCAGTACAGTGTGTGGTCTGGTCCAGAACAGCGTGTGGTCTGGTCCAGTACAGCGTGTGGTCTGGTCCAGTACAGCGTGTGGTCTGGTCCAGAACAGTGTGTGGTCTGGTCCAGTACACTGTGTGGTCTGGTCCAGAACAGTGTGTGGTCTGGTCCAGAACAGTGTGTGGTCTGGTCCAGTACAGTGTGTGGTCTGGTCCAGTACAGCGTGTGGTCTGGTCCAGTACAGCGTGTGGTCTGGTCCAGTACAGCGTGTGGTCTGGTCCAGTACAGCGTGTGGTCTGGTCCAGTACAGTGTGTGGTCTGGTCCAGTACAGTGTGTGTGTGGTCTGGTCCGGTACAGTGTGTGGTCTGGTCCAGTACAGTGTGTGGTCTGGTCCGGTACAGCGTGTGGTCTTGTCCAGTACAGCGTGTGGTCTGGTCCAGTACAGCGTGTGGTCTGATCCAGTACAGCGTGTGGTCTGGTCCAGTACAGCGTGTGGTCTGGTCCAGTACAGCGTGTGGTCTGGTCCAGTACAGCGTGTGGTCTGGTCCAGTACAGCGTGTGGTCTGGTCCAGTACAGCGTGTGGTCTGGTCCAGTACAGCGTGTGGTCTGGTCCAGTACAGCGTGTGGTCTTGTCCAGTACAGCGTGTGGTCTGGTCCAGTACAGTGTGTGGTCTGGTCCAGTACAGTGTGTGGTCTGGTCCAGTACAGCGTGTGGTCTTGTCCAGTACAGCGTGTGGTCTGGTCCAGTACAGCGTGTGGTCTGGTCCAGTACAGCGTGTGGTCTGGTCCAGTACAGCGTGTGGTCTGGTCCAGTACAGCGTGTGGTCTGGTCCAGTACAGCGTGTGGTCTGGTCCAGTACAGCGTGTGGTCTGGTCCAGTACAGTGTGTGGTCTGGTCCAGTACAGCGTGTGGTCTTGTCCAGTACAGCGTGTGGTCTTGTCCAGTACAGCGTGTGGTCTGGTCCAGTACAGTGTGTGGTCTGGTCCAGTACAGCGTGTGGTCTGGTCCAGTACAGCGTGTGGTCTGGTCCAGTACAGCGTGTGGTCTGGTCCAGTGCACCCATACATCTGTTGACCCATACAACTGTTGACCCATACATCTGTTGACCCATACAACTGTTGACCCATACATCTGTTGACCCATACAACTGTTGACCCATACATCTGTTGACCCATACATCTGTTGACCCATACAACTGTTGACCCATACAACTGTTGACCCATACATCTGTTGACCCATACATCTGTTGACCCATACAACTGTTGACCCATACATCTGTTGACCCATACATCTGTTGACCCATACATCTGTTGACCCATACATCTGTTGACCCATACATCTGTTGACCCATACATCTGTTGACCCATACAACTGTTGCAGGAAGCTGTTAAGATAAACCAGAGGTGTCCCCAGATCTAAGACTTCCAATGGAACAACCACCACCAGAATTAAGGCAGAGGAAGTAAAGAAACAATTAGATGACAGACTAAGGAAACAGGCTCCATCACACTGGAAAAAGAGGAGGAACGCGGAAAGGGTTAGACGAAGAAATGGTTTAAGATAATTCAATGAACAATCTATAACTGTAAATATAAAAAAAAATCGAAATTGGCGAATTACATTAAACTTAAAAAGTTTGAAATCCGGGACACTGGGAACCGAAGCTTAATTGACCCTTACAAGCATATCTAGGTGAGGACATATAGATGACTGTATCTAGGAGAGGACATATAGATGACTATCTAGGTCAGAACATGTAGGTGAGGACATATAGGTACCTGGTTGATGGGGTTCTGGGAGTTCTTCTACTCCCCAAGCCCGACCCGAGGCCAGGCTTGACTTGTGAGAGTTTGGTCCACCAGGCTGTTGCTTGGAGCGGCCCGCAGGCCCACATACCCACCACAGCCCGGTTGGTCCGGCACTCCTTGGAGGAATAAATCTAGTTTCCTCTTGAAAATGTCCACGGTTGTTCCGGCAATATTTCTTATGCTTGCTGGGAGGGTGTTTAACAACCGCGGACCTCTGACGTTTATACAGTGTTCTCTGATTGTGCCTATGGCACCCCTGCTCTTCACTGGTTCTATTCTGCATTTTCTTCCATATCGTTCACTCCAGTACGTTGTTATTTTACTGTGTAGATTTGGTACTTGACCCTCCAGATCTTCCACGTGTATATTATTTGATATATCTCTCGTCTTCTTTCTAGTGAGTACATTTGGAGGGCTTTGAGGTGACTGTATCTAGGTGAGGGCATGTAGGTGAGGACATATAGGTGAGTGTATCTAGGTGAGAACATGTAGGTGAGGACATGTAGGCGAGTGAGAGGCGGGCGCTCCAGCTGGCCGCGGCCACGACACGCCATAAAGCGTGGGGGGTCCACACTACACCCTCCGGCCTCAGCACCGACCCCTGAGCCATTTTTACATAGTCCTTGGTGTGGCTGAGCTGGAGTGTGGTGTGGGGAGGGGAGGTGGTGATGGGGGCACGTGAGTGTGGAGTATGGGTATAAATGTGGCGGCGTGCATGAGTACGGCATAGGAAGGGTCCTAATGGGCTGCGGTTGATGGAGGTGCTTAATGGTCATGACAATGGGTTGGTCTCCTGTGTTACCATTCTCCACCAAATTCACAACCCCGTAAGATGGGGCGTGGTATGAGTGCGGCAGGTGTGGCCGTGGTATGAGTGCGACAGGTGTGGGCGTGATATGAGTGCGACAGGTGTGGGCGTGGTATGAGTGTGGCAGGTGTGGGCGTGGTATGAGTGCGACAGGTGTGGGCATGGTGGGGGCGCTGTAGGTGTGGTGGGGGGCGCGGAAGGTGTGGGCGTGGGCGCGCTACTGGTTATGTTTAATGTTGTTTTGCGAGCGTCAAACACTGGGTGGTGGGAGGCGCCTCGACGCTGTACACATAAGCCAACACCTTCATTACCCTGGGCTTGTGGCCGCCACCCGCCTCCAGCCTCCTCTTCCACCTCTTCCTTATGCTTCTTCCTCTTCCTTCCTCTGCCTCGTCAGTGCTATGTAACCAAACTGGCTTGACGCTTTCTACCCATACTGACTTGCCTCCTATTTTCTGCCTTTTCCTCCCACCCCATATATATGTTATCATCATGTTAGTTTTTCTTCTTTCTCTTCCCCCATCCTGTTTACCGTTCCCTTGCTCCCCTGTTCTCTCTGTGGTGATGACACCAGTAACTGTTGCTGCTTTACACTTTTTTGTTATTATTATTTTCTACCACAGACGTGGCCACACATTTACAATACTAACCAGCATATATACACATTTTCTTCTGTCCTCCATGGACAGGGTTAGAGATGTGTTAAACATATAGTTCAGGGATAGAAGACCTACGACCAAATGGTTGCTAGGTGCCAGGGACTGTAGCAGTTGACACAGGGTTTCTGGCACAGCTGTGACAGTATGAGTAAGAGTGGAGGGAGTAATAGTAAGCAGACGATGAGTCACAATATCGTGGCTGAAGATATGATGATCGAACCACACACAAGATGAAGTGACAACAACGTTTCGATCCGTTCTGGACCATTATCAAGACCATTATCAACAGTAACAATGCAAGTGGAAGTAACGCTAGCCGAGGAGTGTGAATGGTAGTGCTACTACTGACATTATTATAGTACATATATGCAACTTTACACAGAAATCAATCCAATTCACCAACATCTACATTAAATACTCTGAGCTTTCCTTTGTGTTCGAGTTTTCTCTCCCTTCGTCTCGCAGTTCCTCTTCATCAGACGTATTGCTATCATATTATTTTTTCTACTCATCGTTAATATTACTTTTTGGTGTTTTTTTATGCACATTTACTTCCCAGGTTTGCCTCCATCACCAGCCACATCTGGCCTGGGGCGGAGCTCACTAGACATGCTGCCTTTCGTTACGAAGCATGTGTAAAGTATCGAACACATGTAAGAACATCCAGATGAGAAAGATTAAGTTTAATTCTTCTAGGATTCTCTGCGTATGTGTACAAGAAAACCTGCCCAAACAAACTGTGACGCGAGATGTGGTTCTTGGGTTGGTTCCTGAGCTTGCCTGCTCAGAGATAAACTCTCAGTCTTTCAAACAACTTTGGGCAAACAGTATCGAGAAATGGAGATATTACCACCATTTCTCGATATTGTTTGCTCAAGTTGTGTGAAATATTGAGGGAGGGAGGCATTCATGATGTCAGTTGTTTAAGCTGGTCGCATCCATCGTGGCAGTTTGCGGCACTAAGAAGAGTGTTGGGGGCTGCTGCTCGTGCTCCTTCCTTCCCCAGGCTACTATGTTATCTTTCAAGCGAGTCTCCAACCACATCAGCACACACACACACAGTTACCATTAGTACAGGGATCATTGAAGGTGGCTGTCTTTCATGGGCCTTGGGGCCGGAAGTCATAAGGGTGAGGATGGTCTCTTTCATTCCACCGGGTTACGGCTCCGGGTTGTTTATCACGAATGGCTAGAGTTAGTCTGCACACAGGGAGCTGTGATTGGTCGAGAACAAACAGTTTACAAGTTTCTGTCAGCGTTTTGAGTCATTGGCGTCTGTTTATAGCTCATACCCAGAATACTAAGTTAATCTGAGACTTCCTCTGCACTTCGCTCAGTTTGCCTCATACCTGGAGGGTGTTGGCGGACGAAGAGAAACAGAAGGAAGGCAAGGGAAGGAACACTGTGTTTGTAACAATGTTTAGCGGGCTCTCGGAAGAGGCCCGCATTTATACCGTTTTATTAGGCTATAGCGTTTCATCAATCAGCGCCATAATGGCCACATGAGCCGAGGCTGCAAACGTTTATATGGGAACAGTGACGACACCAACACCGCGCCTGCCACAATTACTTAAACTGTTGACCAGTGGTGTCATCTGTTCCGCATATTGCACGCTCCAAGTTTTCAGTTTACATGTTAAAGAAATGTGATAGGCTAGGGAGGGAGGAACTATATATCGTAATGGCTAAACAGAGCGAGGGAGGCAAAATATATAAGTAACAAAAGATGCACTATTATTTTTAAGAAATGTCCTAGAATTGTTATAATATTGGAAATTGCATCAGTAGCCTTTAAATTATTTATCATAAGTACGTTTATTGAGACTATAAAATAGCTCTCAAAAGGATAGACTAGCGTAGGCTATTTCTACCCTCCACAAACCCGTGTGGAGGAGGATGGAGGTGTCCATCTTCAGAACCTTAACAATATACCTTTAATTATTCTGTTTTAAGACATTTATTAAGGGGGAACTTAATATCGGAGAATCGTTCCCAGTAAATAGTCATACTTTTTGTAATAATTGGGCATAATTTGTTAATGTTAATTATTGTTAATTGGGCTCAGTACTTTCTTATACATAAATTATGACAAAACTGTAAGGAATGAAAAACAATTAAGAGATTTTGAGAGACTGTGAGATTGAGTGATCCTTATCCTGACCCCTTCAAAGTGCTATATAGTCATAATGGCTTGGCGTTTCCCCCCCCCCCTGATAATTCCCTCCCTTCGTGAGACTGTGAGTTGGCTTGTTATCCGTAAACCAGGCCCAGAACGTGCAGTTTGTTCAGCCAGTGAACTATTGTGTGACATATTGCGCACTCTGACCTTTTGATGTCTCTAAACAAACATTTTGGCACAAATTTGCTTAGCTAAGATAATGTGGGTTCAGTACCTGAACTCTGTGTGACACTATCATCCACCGCCCCCGTTAGATGGGTGTGTGACACTATCATCCACCGCCCCCGTTAGATGGGTGTGTGACACTATCATCCACCGCCCCCGTTAGATGGGTGTGTGACACTATCATCCACCGCCCCCGTTAGATGGGTGTGTGACACTATCATCCACCGCCCCCGCTGAATGGGTATGTGACACTATCATCCACCGCCCCCGCTGGATGGGTGTGACACTATCATCCACCGCCCCCGCTAGATGGGAGTGTGACACTATCATCCACCGCCCCCGCTAGATGGGTGTGTGACACTATCATCCACCGCCCCCGCTGGATGGGTGTGTGACACTATCATCCACCGCCCCCGCTGGATGGGTGTGTGACACTATCATCCACCGCCCCCGCTGGATGGGTGTGTGACACTATCATCCACCGCCCCCGCTGGATGGGTGTGTGACACTATCATCCACCGCCCCCGCTGGATGGGTGTGTGACACTATCATCCACCGCCCCCGCTAGATGGGTGTGTGGCACTATCATCCACCGCCCCCGCTAGATGGGTGTGTGACACTATCATCCACCGTCCCCGCTGGATGGGTGTGTGACACTAACATCCACCGCCCCCGCTGGATGGGTGTGTGACACTATCATCCACCCATCCAGCATAATGGCTGGCGCCGGTTTATAGCAAGTCAAGTGCTGTATTTTCGTAATTTTTTTTTGCACGAACCATATGTTTACACATTTACTGTACTGTTTCTAAAACATATCGGGAATATAAACATTTCTGGCCCTAAATTATTTTAAATTCAGTCATTTCTCTTATTAATAAAGCATCTCACAAGGTCTCTTTTTGTTTCCCCCGGCAGTATACGGTGGGGGCGTGGGCGGAAGTAGCAGCAGACACGAGGTAGTGGGCGTGACAGCAGGTAGTCACGGGCGGAGGAAGCGGACGTGGACGCGGGCGGTGTTCAGCAATCTACAGAGGAAGGGACTGGAGAAGCGATTCCAGCTGCAGAAGTACATTACCAAGCCCGACCGACGCCAGCTGGCCGCCACTCTTGGCCTCACCGACGCCCAGGTGAGCCGCCCTACACACCACTGCTTCACCTAGATGATAATTTAGCTTAACGTACTTCATGTACGTTCTTAATAACGAATGAAATATTCCAAGAATCTAACAACAATTACGGCATCATTAAGAAATATTAAACATTTGAGCCAGAACTGTATATTGACGAAACTCTTAGCCAATCTTGCGTGCTGTAGGTCGCGCAGTTATGATAATAACTAACCTTACACTGTAAGTCTTACTTGCTGTGAATACTGGTGTACGTAGGCACTGTTCTCTCATATTATCAATATTTGAAATAGGTATTTATTGATCTATACTCATAATGCCTATTTAAGAATCACTACAGGTTGGTTGACCCTAACATACGTAATAAATTGTAAGATCTTTACGCGCAATTACAAAAATGTAACAAATTAAATTACTAAATATCTAGAGTAACAAAGTTCTCCGTATCTTACACTTGCTACGCCTTCTTGTCTACCGGGTTACATAATAGCGTAGGATCGCTAGATTTTTAGTATGTTAGGCATGTAATGAGTGAGTGGTTAGATATAAATAGGCATTACCTTGTATGGATCAAAAAGGCCTTTCACAATTTCCTTAATTCTAATGTTATGTCACAATGTGGGGGTCAAATGAGGCTGCGTTCGAATTATGTCTCATGCGTCAGATGTGACAAATAAACTGTATCAGTGGTTCTAGCATTGAAAATGATGCACATAGTTTGATAATTGTTTTGATGTAAAATATTTATCTTTGTCAACGCTATAACTCTACCTTGTGTAGGTTCCAGAGATCAACGGCCCGCGTCCTGGTCTCCGACCAGGCCTCCCAATGGGTCGTCTCGTCAATCAGGCTGTTGCACGCGGCTGCTCGCAGCCTGACGTATAAATCACAGCCTGGTTGATCAGGTATTCTTTAGAGATGTTTGTCGGGATCTCTCTCTTGATCAAAACGAGAGGTCGGCCAATTATGCCCATTATGTGTAGCGGGAGCGTGTAAACCCCAATTACTGTTTATTATTCCCATCTGATGCTATAAAAATAACAACACAGGTAGTCTACCCTTCCAACCCGTTCTCGCACTTTCTTATAGTCAATATTGACTTATTAAATACGTGCATATGTGACATACTAATTTATTGTGAATATTTTAGTTTACCTTGAAAAGCTTCATAGAAAACACCGACCTTACCTAACCTTCTTAGTATGTTAACCCCTTCACACGGTCGCTCACCGTCGCCTGTAAAGAGCTAAGACACGCATTCAAACCTCAGACACACATCTTGACATGCTTATGTTGTTACCAAACTGTTCTCCCCTTTTTATAGGTCAAAGTTTGGTTCCAAAACCGAAGAATGAAGTGGCGTCACGCGGAGCTGAAAAAGCGCGAGCAGCAGCAACAGCAGCAGCAACAACAGCAACAGCAGCAGCAACAGCAGGAAGGAAATCAGAGGGAGCAAGGCGAGGAGGCGGAACGAGGCGAAGAACTGGAAGGTGAAGAGGAAGAAGAGGAGGAAGAGGGGGAAGAGGAGGTAGTGTTGAGGGGGCACGGGGTGATGTGTCTAGACGGACGCGACGATGACGACGACGACGACGAGGAGATCCACCTCGGTAAAGGCCAGGCGGACGAAGCCATGGGCGAAATTAATGTAATTTGAAGTAGGAACTAGTTAGAGTACTGATCCAAAGACGTTTTATGGGAATTTTGAGAATAAATTTAAGTGAAAAAATCGCGAGAAAAACACATCTGTAAAAATTTTTAATAAAAAAATTGTTAATAAATATTGTTAAGTTGTACGTACGCTTGCGTACGTACGCGTGTTTCCTCTGGCTTCATGACAAGGCATAGTTCACCGTCTTTCGGGTTCCATCATGTCTGATCATGGTACTTCTCTATTACAAGCCTAACCCGCTAATCGGCCTGGAGCCTCGCAGTAAAGTAACCGTCTCGCGGCGTCCTGACAAGTCCCGGGCCTGCGCCCCCTGTAACAGCAGGCTCTTTTTACGGACACCATCGTACGTAGGATTCTGTAGACGCTTACAGTCGAGTGGCTCGGGTTCAGCTCCCGTGCAGGACAGACCTGATGCCAGCAATTGTTGTCTTGCAACTTGAAAGCTGCTTGTAAATACCAGCTAATTAAGTCACGTTTTGATTTCATAAGTTCATGTCATATTTTATGGTTGATATATAGATCGAGTCTGAGGCCCAACGCTGCACCTTATGCTGATGTCTGGCGAGATTCGTTTTTTTATGTATATATATATTTTTAAATATAAATAAAAACAACATTTTATTATTACATTTACCAAAACAAGATAGTCCTTCACGAGACAAACACTGCTGCAAGTGCATCATTTTGCCACACTTGGCAGATCGTGTCTCGGGGTCACAATTAAGACGCTACTTCGCAAAAAGGATTCAACAAGAGAACAAATCCACAAGGGCCGTGATGAGGGTCGAACCTCATCATGGCCCTTGTGGATTTGTTCATTTGATGTATCACGCTATTGTGGTTTCTGTGTGTATGCAACAAGAGATCTATTAGTTGATACTGATGATGCTATTTTTTTAACGGCTTTAAGATGGTCTTTGACATTGTGTTTATATGCGTGAGTATTTATTATTGAAGGGATCCTGTACCCAGCCAAAATGCAACTGTCCTGTGAGGGGGTCGCCAGTAGCTCACCTGGCTTATACTTTGGGTAACCCTCGCTCAGCAGCCAGTCCTCACAAAGGCCAAATGTCGTTAATATAGCCGCCAAACCCCCCCCCCACCTTTTTTTTTATTGAAAACACTACACGAGACTCCAACCGGTCCTCAGGCCAGGCTCGTTAAAGCTGCGGCCACCTACCCCCCCCCCCCCCAAAAAAAAGGCATTGATCAATTCTAACGTAATGTACATTAGAAATAAGTTTGTTCTCATTCGTATATTAATGTTATTATACAATATAGTTCTATGTATGGTTGGGTTAGGTGTTTAGATTCGGTGATTTTTTTTGTATTTGAAGTACGTGGGTGAAGGATTTCAGCCCGTCCTCATAAACAAAGGCCAATGTGCATTCCATGCACCCGCCAAACCAACTGTTTATTAATTAAAAACGGTTTACACACGACTCACAACCGATTACGTTCGAAGGAAGCTTGTTCTTCACTGACGAATTTTGTTCGAACCACAACGCTATAAATGCTTCACCCACGTACGACAAATACAAATAATCGTCAAAAGAACATAAACACCTAACCCAACCAATGCCTAAATGTGCACGGTATGCTAGTATATAACAATATTAATTTATATTTGAGAAAATTCCTATTTTGAATGAACAGCATGTTATAATTGATGAATGAGTCTTTGGGGTCGACAGCTGGATGAAATGGACTTGTCTGAGTACGGGTTGTTTGGGGACGACTGTAGATTGAACATGTATATAATGAGAATGGATTGGGAGACCCATATGTCTGTGGCCAATCGAAAACCAGATAAACCCAAAATCAGTATAAAACCACCAGAAGGCATAGCAGCAAAAATGCAAATTACTGCATTATTGTAAAACCCCCTCCCCCCCTTAAACAAGGCAAACGACCCTTACCCTGATCCACGCGACCGCTGTTCCAGGTGGCAGCCCAGAACAGTCTGCCACCTGCTGTGATTACCGCTTGGTCAGATGGTCTCTGCTGGGCGCTCTACAAAATTTTATGTAAGTACAGTTTGCTGTTTACTTTCTATGGAACTTGTTCCTCCTGGGGCATTGTTTTGCTTATTTTATTTTAGCCTCACGATTGTATATATTTTACCTATACTGTGTGTGTGTGTGTCCTATCGATCTAGCTTCTATTTCGCTACGACCGGGGCCAGGGAAGGGGACTCTGGCTCATACAGAGGCTTGCGTTTTCACTACCCTACCAGACACCAGCTCTGAAGAGTTGGCATGGCCTCAAAGTGTTTGTCTCGTCTTGCTATTTTACATCCTGGCAGTGCGTGGAATGTATTCTTCCCTTCGGGCTTATTGTTACAAGGAATCTTTGGTTGAGATGTTATTCCTTTTTTTTTTGTACTTCACGTACCGTATGCACTTTATAGACTTAACTTTGCACTAGCTGGTGGGTTAAGTTAGGTTTAGTTCACACGTTTTAGTACTTCCTTTAATGTCCGTTGTGGCAACGCGAGAGGGCGGAATTGCATATCCAGCTATGACTTTAAATTTTGCCTTAGGACTGTTACACCAGCTTCATCTTACCACTACAAGGGCGTCTCCGAAGTTAGTGTGTTAAGCATTGCTCTCTGGCTGCCCTAACCGGTCTTCACTATACGCTGACTTTTTTCATTTTATTTTATTTATATATACAAAAGTTCTTACATTCTTGAAAAGCCACTAGCAGGCATAGCGTTTCGGGCAGATCCTTCAACTTAATTTTCCCTGGAATACTTCCCGCCAAATCGTTTAACAACTAGGTACCCATTCACTCTTGGGTGAACAAGCGTACTGTTAAGGATTGGTGCCTAGTTAATCCTTCCCGGCCAGGATGCCAACCCAGGTCAAATCGCTCGCGAAACGCTGGGCGAGTGTCTTACCACTGTGCCATAGAGACTATACGGGGATTCATTCCGCACTTTGTTGTTCACGGGAGACATCTCCCGTCACGCAGGGTGCAGTCGCACCTCCACAGATCTCCAGTATCATCTATTGACACTGGTAATGGCTCAAAAGGGCCACCACTTACGGGCTATTCATGCCCGTGCCACCTTTTGGGTGGCTTAATCGTCATCAATCAATCAATCCCACTTTGTTGACGACCTCACCATTAGCTGTTTCGGCGCCGATTTTCCCTACAGCGATCTCTCCAGCTTGTAAGCAAGTGTGTCGTCTTTAGCTACCGTCACAGCTTGTAGTTCTGTTCTACGAAAACTCTTGTTATGATTTACTAGGAAACATATCTCCCACCGATCAACCTTGAACCTCGGTGACAGTTAACTTTATGTAAGAATCATGCCTATCTGGATTGAGCGTTGATATCCACATACCTGTCTTGGTCATCACCTATCCACAGGTACGAAAAATAATAATTTTATGTACAAAAGTACGTAACAATACATTTTTGTTTCACTAGATACTTTAAAACAAAACACACGAAATATTGATACAGTACTGTAACAGTAACAATAAATATGGGTACTCACCAAGTGTCAGGATGTTTCTCCACATTTGATCTTGGAATGATTGATAGACGAGTATGGTGTTAAATGAGGGTGGAGGTTGATGTTGAGGGTTAAGGGTTAAAGAGAAATTCAGTTCGCTCTCTCTTGGAAGTCCTCTCCAAAGTCTTGTTAATTGCCTCAAGCCATTTCTTTACAATTGTGAAAACTGTAAAATTTATAAAATGCCATCAGACTGAAGACTGACATTCGATCTTCTCTCCGTGAACTTTAAAATGATTTCAAATCCCTTCTATACTCTGCCACTCTTGCTCGAGTCTTCCTCATCCTCCTCTTGACTCTTGCTCACCTGGCTAGTTTCTGTCACCAAATTAATAACATCATCATAAGATATGTTTGGTGCAGTGGAACATCTCTGTCACACTCAATCCATGTATCAACTTCCTTCGTGCACTAATAATAAAAAAATTATATTGCACATTGCTACATCACTCAGTTTTACATAACTTGAAACAATTTTGTCTTTTGCCTTCAATATATCACTTAGTGGTTTTACTAACTTTGTACTTGGTGAACACAACACTTCTAGGAATTCCGGTTTCAACATCCTTTGTAATGGTGAAGATTTTGTTCGAAAGTCATCACAACGTGTTTTCTCTTGGCTCCACGGCTTGTTGAAGCCCTTAACAGATTTCCTGATGCCATAGGAGCAAGTTGCAAACAATATGCACAGACAAAATGGTAAGAGGGGGAACAGTTTTTGGACGCCGCAGGCAGCCACAATACTGTCGACCAGCAGGTACTGACTGCTGCATCTATAACACAGCCCAACCCGTCCTCGACTCGGTCAACCCCACACACATTCATAAATTTTAACAAGTTCATGCAAAATGACAATTTGCTCAAATATAAATTAATATTATAATATACTAGCATATTGTGCATATATAGGCATAGGTTAGGTTAGGTGTTTAAATTCTGTTGCCGATTATTTGTATTTGTAGTACGTGGGTGAAGCATTTGCAGCGGTGGTTCGAACAAGATTAGTCAGTGAAGCACTTGTTCCGGAAGTGTTCGAACGTCATCAGTTGTGAGTCGCGTGTAACAGCCCGTCCTCCAAACAAACATCCAAAAGTGATTCCATGCACCCGCCAAACCCCCTGTTCACGAATGAAAAGCGGTTTACACACGATTCACAAATGTAGACGTTCGAACACTTTCGGAACAAGTGCTTCACTGACGAATTTTGTTCGAACCACAACGCTGTAAATGCTTCACCTACGTACTACAAATACAAATAATCGCAAACAGAACCTAAGTACCTAACCTAACCTATATATCCACAATATGCTAATATATTATTATACTAATTTACATGAGAAATTATATATATAATATATATAGTCATACCTAATGGCCCGTTTCCTAACAAGCTGAATTTTCGTGAAATATTTAAGTTTCTAAATGTATTTCTTATGTAATGATAATTTTCATTGTATTATACAGTATATGATTGCAATTTTGTTATTTGTGACAAAACATATAAATTTTATCAATCCTAACATAACAAAGTCAGTAATTCATGTTCCTAATTTAATAATTATTGTTAGAAAGGAACCAATCTGGAAAGAAATATTTGAAAATAATGAAAATCATTCAGCCTGTCAGGTATATTGGATCTTGCATACTAGGTCAAGTAGTTGTGGTTCTGGTTATTAGGTACAATATAAATAAAATGTTGTACCTAATAGGCCAAATTGCTTAACAAGCAGGTTTCCTAAAATTATACATTTTCTAACAAATATGCCTTATGAAATGATATAGCTCTCTACTATATTATACAGTATATGATTTTTTTGTTCAAGTTAAAGCTAACAAATTTGATCAAACCTAACTTACTTGCCTACCTAACCAAGCCTATCTTAACATAACTCGGTCAGTAATTCATGTTCTAAATAATATTTCCTTTCAAATTTGTTTATTTGAATTATTTAAAAAAGAACCAAAATCAAACTGCCTGTTAGGCAAATCAGGCCTTGCACACTAGACTAAGTGGTGCATTCTGGCTATTAGGTATATTATAGAAATAAAATAAAAGGATAAATAAAACATTCCAAGAATCTAATTTTAC